CCCTCCACCCTACAGCGCGTTCTGAAGGCAGCAGAAGCCTCTCATTGTGCATTTTAATCTTCCCTCTGGATCAGTGTCCCTCATGCTTGGCCTCGCTCTCTTCAATGCCCGTATTATCATAATTCACCCATAACCTTAAAAACAGGGCTTCTCTCAGGCCGCGCTCTCCTCCTCCTCTCCAGTAAGCGTGGCCGTTCTTTGCAAACACACCGCAGCCTCCTGACCTCAGCTCGCTGAGATCCCACCCGCTAATGCTTCTGACCATAATTACATAAGAAGCCTCATCCTCGGAACCGCTCTCAGCTCGGAACACCATCCGTCATTATTCTCTAAAAATGCAAGAGCTGCCTCTTTCATCGGAGGTATGCAGGAAAGAGACGGCCGGAGGTCCAGAGAATGAGCCTCTTCGGCGCGTCAGGGTGAGGAGCGGGTGTTAATTTTTATGTTCCGTGCAGCAGGGCGCAGGGCCTGCTAATGATGCCGCATTTATCGGAGGGAAAATAATAGGAAGGTACAAACAGAGGCCCGAGGGTGAGGAGTTTTCTCTCGGTAATAGCTCAGTGTGGGAAGTGGACTGCAGATAGAAAATAATAACCCAGATTCCCCGCAGTTAGGGACAAATGACACCGTGCCTTGTGGTTTCCATACATTATCTGCTGAGGCTACGCAGTGACTGTCCCAGATAAATATTCTTCTCCTTCTGTTTCTGAGACGGGGGGGGGGGGGGTCAAAGGTTAAGGGTAGCCCTGCGGCAAAAGCCCTCTTCCAGGAGAGGAAGGGGCTGGGCTGGACAAGCACGAGGATTGTTCCAGGATCAAGTTCCCAGATAAACGACGCCGTGTCTGCCGATAACCTGTGCACAGCGCCCACAGGCTGGAATCGTCTCTAGACGGCTGCCTGTGCCTGGTCCAGAGTAGATGATTTTTATAGGTGCCAATCACGCCACATTCCCCTGGGGGTTAATGACACTAAGAGTCTCCTCCTCTTGTTTGCCACCTGGGGCTTTTCTTGAGTTTCTTAAGAAAGTTTAAAATTTTTATTTGTGTGGGTGTGTGGTGTTTGTGCGTGTGTCTGTGTGTGTGTGGTACATGTGTGTCTGTGTGGTGTATGTGGTGTGTGTGCAGCTGCCATCAGAGAACACCAGGGGACTCCTGCCCTGTTACTGCTCAGGAATATGGCCAGCCCCACCTGCATACACAGGCAGGGACAAATGCAGGGCTATGAGGCAGACATGGTTACAGGTGAAAGGCCGGAACTGAGAGGCCTCTGTGCAAACGCTCTTCACTCGTTCATTGTCCGTATGAGCATGCGTGAGCTCCTGTCAGTGGGGTGTCACTTCCTAGGCACCGTCTGCCTTGTCTTTCGAGACAGGGGCTCTCACTGTCCTGAGGCTTGCTGGTTTGGCCAGCTGTCTCCATGGCCCAGAACTGGGATAAGAGGCACACCGCCACCCTTGGCTTTCTATGTGGGTGCTGGGATTGCACCCCAGTCATCATGCTTGAACAGCAAGCGCTGTGCTATTGAGCCTTTTCCTCACCATGAATGTTTTCAGCGACCTAGTGACAGGAGAGACAGCAAGAGTTACATGGGGGTAGGGACATGGCCAAGGTAAGCAAAGAATTGGACTGGGTTGGAACCCAGATCAAATGGCTACCTGCTCTCCAGTCAAGAACTTCCAAGAGAGATACATAGTTTGCACAGGTGACAACCAAGAGGCACTGAGCCACACCCCAGCCCCTCACTGGGGGATTCTAGGCAGGGGCTCTATCCCTGAGCCACACCCCAGCCCCTCACTGGGGGATTCTAGGCAGGGGCTCTACCACTGAGCCACACCCCAGCCCCTCACTGGGGGATTCTAGGCAGGGGCTCTACCACTGAGCCACACCC